TGAACGGCCTGACTTTAAACTGCTGCCTGTGTGAGGTGTCATGGGCGCTGAGAAAAAAAACCCCTTTTAAACATGGGAGTTATTGTTCCCTCTGTTTTTTTCCAACCTCCCATCCTCCGAAAATGTACCTCCTTTCTTCCTCTGCCCTTTAACCTCTCCCAACCCCCATCCCTCCATCTCACGTCTCTCTCCACATTTCCCCTCCTTCCTCTCATCGGCCAAAGACCAAACAACCGTGATGGATCGTCATTGATAATTTCCCACCACCACAAGGAAAAAAAAGGTTAATGGAGAAGTTTTTCTTTTTGCGAGGGGGGTGGGCAGAGAGTTTTCTGCTTCATCTTTTTCATGAGGTAGTAATAGTAGTAGACCCCACCTTGAGCGCCCCCCCCCCCCCCCCCGTGCACCCTGGCTCTTCCAAAGAGGGCTCCCCTCCTCTCCTCCTCCCCCCACTGCCTCCCTCTTGAAACAGACTCTATGGACTGCATGCATGACATTCCAGCTGTGTGGGTGGCACAGCCTTTTACAGCGTCTCCAACAGTCCACAGGGCTCCTAAAGCACAAGAGCAGAAGAACCTCCACCCAGGATCCATCTTCAGATTCACTTCTCCACCCAGGAGCTCTGGTGAGCGCTCCATTACCCATGTTGTTAACCTGGGAAAGGTGATGAGACATGTTGATATTTTGTATGTAAGTTCATTGAGCAGGATATGTAAAACAATACGTCAATAAACATGACATTTCTTTCCTTCTTTGCCTTTAACCCCCCCCAGGTGATCGTTAACAGCTCAAAAAACTTATTTGATCAGCATGATGCTTCATGACTTTTCCAGACTATAAACATGGTTTTTGAACTGATGAGGTTAAGCTGTATAGTCACAGTACTCCTAAAGACACCACCTGGTGAAACACACAATATTTTCATATGCTCTGTATGTGTGATTGGTGGTAAAAGCACATACGCAGCACAACCCCTTCAAAATAATTGGATTTCTGTTGTTGGAGTTTTATAACAGTTTGTTCATAAGAGGTCTAATAAGCGGTTAAACCTCTCATAAGTAACATGACTATGGAGGACAACATGCTGCAGATTTCTTTGTCTGTGAATGACTTTTTGGCAAATAAAAGGAAAGTATATATAAATGTTCATGCATAGCTCAAGTAACATGTACAACATGAAATATTTGGTTATTCGGTGTAATAGCAATACTTCTCATTTGTGGGTAAGTGTTACCGCTTTAAAACTTTTCTACATGTTTGGTTCTGATGAGGTCAGAAGAAAAGGTCGAATTTACAGTTAGTACTTCTTCAGTATTTAAAAAAAGTTAAGTTGATTTCAACAAAACACAAATGTTAAAAAAACGCTGTCTTTTTACAAAACCAAGTTCTGGAAATTGTTCTAAATTGAACCCCTTTACTCTTATTCAAGTATTTTGCAAGATTATTAAACACGTTGAAAGAATGACTGCTCCATCCATAAGTGGGTTACAAAATAACTTTTCCAGGTGCAGGTTTAGCAACAGAAGCAAAAAATGAACACCTGGTCCCACAAAGTAAATCCAAAAGTAAAAAACATTTGTTTAATCTTTGAACTGAGATGTAGAAAACCTTCTGCATAATAATTTTTTTTATAGAGCCCCAATTTAACATTTGCCTCAAGGTGCTGAACAATCCGTACAGCACACAACACCCTCCATGTCCGCTGCACAATATCCTCCATTAAATCAATTAGTCATGATCCCAGAGGATTATCACACACAGTTTTATTGAAGCTCCAAATCTAAGACATCGATTCTTAACCGATAAACAACCGACCTCATCCATAAGTCACAGCTGCCTGGCGAGCGCACATCGAGCTTGTTTTTCCTCCATTTTCCAACCGGGCGAGTGCATGAGCAGAGTCCAAAAGATGAAAAAACTCAACCCCATTAACTGAACTTCAGAGGAATTCCTCACTTTACATACGGAATGCACTTCAGGTCAAAGGGCAAAGGGCCAGAGGGGAATCCACCCGCGCCCAGGCAGGCAGGCCTTATTTAAACAAGCCTGGAATGCCTGGTCGGGAGAGAAGAGAAGAAGAAGAAGAAGAGGAGGAAGAAGGGGAAGGAACCTCTGTGCCATTAACATGAGCAATAAATACCAGCACTTTTGAAATGACCTGCGCTGGCTGACTTCATGTGCCACTGACTCTGAAATGCCTTATGAGCTTTTCACCAGTTAAACTGGGGACAGATGTCTGTGATGAGAGCTGAAAATCACTGAATGTGTTGTACAGGTACGGGATGCTGGAAGTGCAGGCAAACCCCTTAAAAAAATATACATTTCTTATTTTTCCCATATGTGGCTTTGAGGGACTACAAATGATCTTATTCCACTCCGTCTGACAGAATCACACATCGTCTGTATTGGCCTGTTCTTTATGGCTACACTGTTTTATCAGATTGAAATAGTTGCACCATTTTATACACATTTCCCCAAATTCCGGCCACACTTTTGATAGATTTATAGTAACTTGAGGACTTTAAAATCACAGTTTTTTGGGGGTTTGAACAATGTTCAATGGTATTGAAATGACTGACCCACCAGGAAAAAAAAGAAACTGCACATCGGATTAATACTCTTGCTGTTGTTTTATTTATTGTGCAGTTTTAATCACTTGATATTAGAAAAATATTCTTTAAATTCATGCCAACAACTTGCAAATCAAAACAAGGACTTCCTCTCCCTCTAAATTCAACACTGGTTCATGCAGCAGTTGGTACTGGGTTGGTATTACCTGCCCATCTATAATTTCAGGATCAATGGGAGAGGAGCCTACAAAACCCTGCATTACAAGCGTGGGCCAACCTCTCTGTTTTTAGGACCATCTCGCCAAAATGTCCTACAAATGACATGCTACAATCCCCATGGCCGTGGTGGAATTCTGTCCACTTCAGGGCTTCAAAGCAGCACAGGACTCGTCGGTCGGTCTGGCCAATAGGTGAAGAGGGGTGGACCCTGCCTGCCTTGACCTCACCGACCTGGCCCGACCCCCACCCCACCAACCACCCACCC